TACCTCAACCTTATCCTTTTTTTTTCATGAGAAGAAGTACTGAGATGCCATTACTAATATATATCCAACCTGTACTGCCTTTAATGTTGTTCCTTTGTTGCAACAAAGGGGGGGGACCGATCAACTTTAAGATGATTTACCAATTGTTCTTCCTGCACCCACTGATCTAATATATATATTTTCTATACATTCCATTGAATTGTGCTACATTGCATTTCCATTCGCATTTCTGTTCTTGTGTAGCTCTCCTTATTCAACCCTGTGTTCATCAGTGGCTTGTTGTTTGTGATAGGTTCTTTTTTGCAGAGTTCCATGTTATCCTTATATTGCGCATTCTCTCAACCATTTTCCTTGTTAATGACTATACTATATAGATTTTTACCTGCAAGAAATATTTGTAAGTCTAAACAATAACAAATGTTAAATCACCTAACTCATCATGGACCACTTTATACAAACATCTAACCATTGTGGCCTAATAGTAGTGATGAACTAAGTGTAGTATTTAAGTCTCACGGGACTGAGAGTTGACCTGTTAGAGTTGTTTAATTCTATCATTCCTTGCAAGCGTTAATTGCTTCCCTAATGCTTGTACTAAAGCAAATGGTTACTGATGGAATCGTACTTAACGTAATTCTTCTTTCGTATTTTTACTTTTTATAATTTAACTCTTAAGGAGCATGGATTACAATAAATACCCAGCTCCTCTATTGTATTATTACTTTTGAGCTTAATGAGAATTCAATTTTTTGAAATCAGAAATTATTTTCTCTTTCTCTTAAAAGTTCAAATGCTAGAGAGTCCAAGACTCCTCTAGCCACCTTAAAGACCCCCTAGCCACCTCTTGCACCCTGCCTTCATTCTCATTTTCCTTGATTTCCACGTGTGCTCCACCTTATTTCTCTCACTTCCATAACGTTGTTTCCATACGGGTCAGCCATTAATTCACTGCCACATCTTCAGCGCTTCAACGACACCTCACTGCACCTTGCGCGTCTTCATTTTTTTGTTTTTCTTCTTTCACGAGAGCATTTCTCTCTCGAGTCCCTCGTCTCCAGCCATGGTTCTTCACGGTGAGTCTTCTATCCTTGCAGATTCACTTTGTCATTCTCGTTTCTCCCTCGTCACAGCCCTTCCACCATTTTGTTATATTTTGACCGTTATTTAAACACTCTCTTCACATCGTTTTCCATTTTCCACACATGAACCCTCCTTTATTTCTATCTAATCCTTTCCACCAATCAATCTTGTGTTTGAACCGATTAATCGGTTATTGAGTTTA